CTGTGATCAATAAGAAGCAGAAATGTTGCTGAAAGAATCAGCGTTGTAATGCACTTGGCTAAAACTGCTGAGTTTAGCAAAGAAATTCGAGTTGTAAATAAAGTGGATGTGTGCAGACTGGGCTAATCTGCCACACAGAAGAGACTTATGTATTTAGATCAGCCTAATAGCTGCCATATTCATTTACAATCAAATGTTCCTGGAGACTTAGATCTTAATGTTAGGCTAGAACAAGGAGCTGCAGAAAATCATTAGCTCTCTCTGTCATGATTTACTGCTTAGGCTTGACTACCTAGGTGTCAGCGTTAGTCACTAGCAGCCACATTATAAGAAAAGCCAACAGTTGTGCCTCATTAGAGATCTCTGGCACAGAGAGGAAATTATGTACTTTTTACAAGTTTTTCTCAGCAGCACAGCACAGCAATCATTGATGTGGACAAATCATACAATGGTACATCAGGGACCCAGAGAACAAGAGGGACCAACACAACTGCTATGAGGGAGGTATGGGAGTGTACTGCTAGAGCAGTGGGTTTAAGATGACCCATGGCAGCACAGCAAAAGACGCCAATGACATAAAGGAGAATCTGCTGGCACAAATGAAATCATGAGAGAATAGTAATTCAGCTATTGCAGCTTGAGCTAAAGTGCAATGTAACATAATGATAAAGTTCCCCTGCTGCTATACAAGAATATGGCATATTATCGTCCAATATCTCATATATATCTGATTAAAAGAAATACCTTCTTGAAAAAAAATTATATTTATATATTTTTTTTATTTTATATATTGTTCCTTATCATGATCATTAGAGAAAGAAAATATGTACAAAACCACTATGCATCTCTCTTTCTGTGTGTGAGTATACAGTATATATATATATATATATATATTATATATATATATATACAGTTGCAAGAAAAAGTATGTGAACCCCTTGGGATTACGTGGAGTTTTGCATGACTTGGGCATAAAATGTGCTTAGAACGTCATCTAAGTCACAACAATAGAAGAACACAGTCTGCTGAACATAATACTACACAAACATTAGATGTTGCCATGGTTTAATTGCACATAACATGTAAACATTCACAGTGCAGGGAGGAAAAAGTATGTGAGGCCCTAGCTTAATGACTTCTCCCAGAGCTAATTGGAGCCAGGAGTGAGCCAACCTTGACTCCAATCAGTGTGATGATGAAGAACACACAACACTATGTGTGGAGAAAAAAAGGCACAGCACACCAACATCAAAACCTCATCCCCACTGTAAAACATGGCAGGGGGAGCATCATGGTTTGGGGCTGCTTTGCTGCCTCAGGGCCTGGACGGATTGTTGTCATTGATGGGAAAATGAATTCCAGAGTTTATCAAGACATTTTGCAGGAAAACGTACGACGACCATCTGTCCACCAACTGAAGCTCCGCAGAGGATGGGTGATGCAACAGGACAATGACCCAAAGCATGCAAGTAATTCAACAAAACAATGGCTGCAACAGTACAGAATATGCCTTCTGGAGTGGTCCAGTCAGAGTCCTGACCTCAACCCGATTGAAATGCTGTGGCATGACCTTAAGAGAGCGATTCACACCAGACATCCCAAGAATATTGCTACACTGAAACAGTTTTGTGAAGAGGAGTGGTCCAAAATTACTCCAGATCGTTGTGCAGGTCTGATCTGCAACTACAGGAAACGTTTGGTTGAGGTTATTGCTGCCAAAGGAGGGTCAACCAGTTATTAAGTCCAAAGGTTCACATACTTTTTCCTCCCTGCACTGTGAATGTTTACATGTTATGTGCAATTAAACCATGACAACATCTAATGTTTGTGTAGTATTATGTTCAGCAGACTGTGTTCTTCTATGGTTGTGATTTAGATGACGTTCAAAGCACATTTTATGCGCAATTCATGCAAAACTCCACGTAATCCCAAGGGGTTCACATACTTTTTCTTGCAACTGTATACAGAAAATATCCTTTTACATAAGCCGTTTAGAGAAAGTGGTGTAATTGAGGATAAATCCATTATTGTAAATTTTCAAGCAGTAGGACATCTCAGGCAATAAACACAAAGATAACTACTGTGGATTTTGTTACATATTTGATTTCCAGAGGAACCAATGAAGGGATATCCTAGGGGATATTTAGTTAACACATTCTACTCAATCGCTGGGCTCTCTGTTTCAATTAATTTAGGAAAATGGAATTTGTGATTCAGTTTTTTATATATTTTAAATGAGTTGCTTTACCAATTCACATTTATATTCTATGAAAGGCAATCTGTCATCTAGAAAGCAGTGTATGGACAGGCAGCAGTTTACAAATGAGATAAAATAGCAGGTTTTATCCAAACTCTTCCATATATAAATGAATGGTACATTGTTCTATTACATTAACCCAGAAAGCAGACATTTTTAATAACTGCCCGCAGTGTCTAAATACAGAAAAGTGCTGAGAACAGCTTTCTATTAAAACAAGTCAGAGATTTAAAAAGTGCCAGTGTCACTATCACAGATTATTTCTACAGATTACTCAGCAATGGATTTTATGTTTTCTGCATTGAATTACACTGCATCAGGATATTATGATCTTACTTCATCACAGATTTGCTTTAAAGAAACCCTCAATTGAGAGGAATACAGAGGCTACTCATGACCCCCTTCTGAATATGACTGTTGTTTGGCTGTCATGTTGATCCATTGGTTTCAGTCAGTACTTTCCAAGCCACTGAACCAGAACAAACACGTCAAGATAGAATGAAGACCAAGCTCCAATCTGCATACTTGTTCCAGGTTCGTTAACTCAAAGTACTAAAGCCAATGGATCACTGTGACAACCAGAAAAATAGCCAGTTATGACAATCTCTATACTTCCTCATTGTAGGTTCCCCTAAAGCGGTGCTAAACTCTGGTTTAAGATAAATTCCAAAATTATGTATCTTCTATTGCTCTCAGCATGCTCCAGATCTCCAAATTCCTCCAAAGATCCAATGTTCACTTAGAGGTTGGCTATGTATGTTCTACATGGTCGCACTATATATGGGAACATAGTCACTCACTCTTGCTTGCTTCCAAGATGGACTAAAGAATATGGATTTTGGGATGTGTAGTGTGCACTGCTCGTTTTAAACAAATGAACGTTAGTGGGAAAATGGCCATTAAAAAGTGGATATATATAGATTGTTTTTTGGAAAATAAGGATATCATGTAGTGTCACTTTCAAGAAGGTCTTATGGGGCACCAAGGTTGCTTTACTGAATTAACCTCCCTGGCGGTATGATTATTTCATATTTTTGGTGCTGAAAGCGGGTACCATTATTTTGCATGGAAATTTGGTGTTTTATATTGTAGGCCTGTAATTCTTAGGAATAACTCACTGAAATCTGTCTGAACAAAGAGTCTAGTATACATCCCAGGTAGGGTAAAACTTGAAACACGAAATCATAAATTATAATTTAATAAATAATCATAAAAAATAATAATATAATAATAAATTTAATTCAATAATATAATCAAACCAAAAACACTGAAATTTGAAATATAGCGCCAAGTTCGCACATCGCTGAGCAAAGTCGGAAAATCATTTTCATTGTCTGATGACGAATTTCCCCACGAATCATTATCACTCAATTCTGAAAGTGGTTATAATTTACTATCGCTGTTCTCTAGCTGGTCTAAAACCGCTTTTGACATAAAGGGACGCTTTTTTTAGACACCATGGACGGTTCTCAGTTTCCAGGCAATAAGAACTGTAAAAATGCAGGCAGGGCACAGGACAAAGCACTAGGGAAACAATGTATGTGAAATGGTTTGATACAGTAATGTTTTACTATGTGATTTTAGTGATTTTAGTGAATGTCACTTTTTGTCATTTTCAAATTTCCCGCCGTTTCATCCCCCGTACGTCCCGAAGCTCGCAGGGGACAGAACCCAGATGACAGATGCCGGCATCCGCCGGATTACATTGCCGGGGACACTGCAGGAGGGACATCGCAGGAGTGCAGGACAAGGTAAGTGCAGAAGGGATCACAGAGCAGTGCCGCATGGTATTCCCGAGTGTAGCTCGGGGTTACCGCTTGTGGTGCTGAAACTTTACCCCGAGCTACACTCGGGAATACCGCCAGGGAGGCTATAGGATAAGTTCACCTTTTGTAGCATGTTACATGTTACACCTTATTCATCTAACATGTTACTGTTGCAGCAGCCCCCCGATCCCCCATTGTGACAGTGAGCTGGGGATCTTCTCCCCACACCCACTGTCACAATTTAACAAAAACACGTCTGTGTTGGGCTCCGCCCAGCCGGGCCGCATCATTCATTCACAGAGTTCTGTGAATGGGAGAACTACAACTACCAGTAGCCTTTGTGGTTGTTGATTTATAGTTCTCAATGAACTACCGGGGCACTGAGAAACGCTCTAGGTAGTTCAATGATGCTTCCTGCCATTCAGTAACTGCCTGTTGGTATGAGGTACGTAGCAGACAGCTACACTGACAGTCTGCAGGAGCTTCGCATTGCACTCGTGATCTGCTGATTGCAGGTTCCTAGTAAAAAAAATAATAAATGTGAATTTTTTACCTGCAAAAAGATGTGCATTTATTTTATTTTTTTTTACAAAGGTGAACTTATCCTTTAAAATCCTAGCATTGTAGAAAAGAGATCTCTTGAGCTAAAAGGCAAAGAAGCATAAATTATCGCTACACCTGCACAAATTACAATCCATGGAACTAATACACCAGAACTGTCAAGTATCCAATTAATGTACTATTGGTAACCACCAGGAGGTGACAGAACCCAAATCTTACAGGTTACAAATCTGTTTACTACTATTTATTCTCGATATATTTTTGGTATGTCTTTATAGCATACCAAAAAAATCTATATTTATTAAATGTTTCTGGCAACAATCGCAAGATAGAAGAGAAAATAAGCCATGTTCAGTTTCAGTCAAGGTTCTGTACACAAATCAAGCATTATTACATATGTGTTTCTGATTCCTTAGGTTCAATTTATTAACAGGGATCGGGAAGGTTTCTGCGGTGGATCCATAGTGAATGAAAAATGGATAGTAACTGCAGCCCACTGCTTTATAAAAATTTCACTTGGCCATTTTAGTGTAGTGGCAGGTAAGTCCTTTTTCTTTTAGCTTATAGTTGTTGATTGTTAACCAAATGAATAAATCCAAGATAAGAAAATATCAAATTATAGTTAAAGAATCAAGTGTAAACCAGGAATATAGCAAGATAAAATTTTTTGTTCTTTGTGTTACCTAATGGTAATTAGGGTTCATGCACATAAGACTTTTACAATTTCCCATGCCTAGCATCATTTTTTGACAGGTTGTTTGCAGGAGGTGCCACTTCCCAGGTGCAAAAAAAGCACTGGGAAATTACGCTGTAAATAGAAAACGCCTGTAGTAGCCCTATGTGCATGATCCATTTGTTAATTGGACTTCCTCTTTAATGTTCAAGATATTTTGCAACTTATCCAGGTAGCTTCCTCAATATTTATTGGGGTATGTTCCTAACAATTAGTGCTGACAAAGCTACTTGTGTGAATTAAGAAATTTCCTCAACATTACAGAACAAATCCAGCTGAATGAGACTAACTGCCATGACCTGGATAAATGAGAACTTTCAGACATATAGCGCTGTGTTGAATGTAGTAAATACTTCCTAGCTCAAAAGAGAGGGCACCATGTGTTTGGTATCAATCATAATTATTCCTATAGCATGTACTGGATCTTGGCACGCATTAACATATGTTTATCACATGGCAACAGATTAATGAGCCAGCTCAATGCATTTTGTGGACCAATGTCCCCTATTTCAGGAGTAATGCGATGGTTATTGCTCTTCTGTGCATATACCAAGAACGTCTCTAATGTGGAGGGTGGGGCTGCAAGGCATCCTCAGGGAAACATGTTATGGTATGTAATGGCAAGAAAAAGTATGTGAACCCCTTAAATGGTTTTCTGCAATAATCCTCATCTAATGCACGCCATACATGGGGAGAAAACCAGCAGATTTTTCTTTAAAAAAACGAAAGATCAGTTGTTCAATCAGCCGACGTTACCAGGAACAGTAAAAAAAAAAAACGGCTGATTTTCATCCTGTCTACAGCCGGCAAAAAGTGTCTCTGCAGAGAGCTCCACTATTTCTTTGACAGTTCTTTGACATTTATAGCGGCTGCAACATTGTATCTATTTGTATCCATTTCGGATACAGATGTTTTATTCGGAAACAGATACATTGTTGCAGCCGCTATAAATGTCAAAGAACTGTCAAAGCAATAGCGGAGCTCTCTGCAGGGACACTTTTTGCCGGACTGGAATTCTTCTTCTTCTTCATCCTCTTCTTCTTCTTCATCCTCTTCTTCTTCATCATCCTCTTCTTCCTCTTCTTCTTCATCCTCTTCTTCTTCATCATCCTTTTCTTCATCCTCTTCTTTCTTCTTCTTCTCCTCTTCTTCTTCTTCTTCCTCTTCTTCTTCTTCTTCTTCTTCTCCTTCCTCTTCTTCTTCTTCTTCTTCTCCTTCCTCTTCTTCATCCTCTTCTTCTTCTTCATCCTCTTCTTCTTCTTCATCCTCTTCTTCTTCTTCATCCTCTTCTTCTTCTTCTTCTTCTTCTTCTTCTTCTCCTTCCTCTTCTTCTTCTTCTTCTTCTTCTTCATCCTCTTCTTCATCCTCCTCTTCTTCATCATCCTCCTCTTCTTCATCCTCTTCTCCAGCCTCTTCAACATCCTCTTCTTTCTTCATCCTCTTCTTCTTCTTCTTCTTTTTGTCTTCCTCTTGCAGGTCACTGCTCATGCGCAGATTTTTTATCGGTAAAAAGATCGACCGATTTGTCCATAATTGCCGCGAAAATCGGCCGATCGGCAAAATCGGCCGATCTTTTTCCAACTTTACCGATAAAAAAAATCTCCCAAAATACCAAAAAACGGCCGACCTATTAACCCACTAACGATCTGAAAAAACGGCCGATTTTATTTTCTGCCGAAAAATCGGACGATTTTCGACCCTATCTATGGCCTGCATTAGTCACAAAAAATGTTTTTTTTTTTTGTGTCTTTTTTGAACACACACATTAAACATCCATAGAGAAAAATGTAAGTGAATCCATACACTAATTACTTCAACAAAAGCTAGTTAGTAAAGTTAGTAAATTGCACACATGGAGTCTAATTAATGGAAATAAGTTGGAGGTGTGGTTTAGAGCTACTTTTATTGATAAAAGGCACTCAAATAGTTTAAGATTGCTGTTCATATGAAACATAAGCTGATGTGACCAATGCTTCACAAAAAGTAACTCTCTTAAGACATATGATCAAGAATAGTTGATCTGTATGAGGCTGGAAAAGGATACAAAGCAGTCTCAAAATGTTAGGTATCCATCAGTTGACAGTTTGACAAATTGTCTATAAATGGAAACAGTTTAGTACTGTGGCTACTCTTCCTCGAAGTGGCCCCAAGTCAAGATGACTCCAAAGGCACAATGCAAAATCCTCACTGAGGAAAAGAAGAACCCACAAGTAATGGCTAAATGCTTGGAGACATCACTAGAACTGATAAACATCCCTTTTCATGAGTCTGCCATACATAAGTCTTTAAACAGGCAGAGGGTCTATGGCAGGACACCACGGAGGAAGCCGCTGCTATCCAAAAAAAAAAAGAAATTGCTCCGCGTCTGAATTTTGCCAAAGAGCAGCTTGGCAAACTGCAACGCTACTAGGTAAACATTTTGTGGACTGATATAACTAAAGTTGAATTGTTCAGAAAGAATACTCAGCACCAAAGGTGTAACTAGAAGGGCCCTGGTGCAAGAAACCATGAAGGGCCCCCCTTTCCATCAGTCCATCAGACCTTTCCTATGGGCCCTTCCCACTGATCCCATGATCCATTTTCACCCATTATAGGGTCATTTGTTATGGTCTTGCAGCGGGACCCTTTCACGTGTTCTGCAGTGGGCCTACTTCCTGCCATTTAGAGGCCCCCCTATGATGGCGGAAAGCCAGGGACTGGTCGCAAATGCTACCTTTGCGACCCTGGTAGTTCCGCACTGGTACTCTGGTCTCTTCCTGCCCAAGAAACGCTGGTCTTAAAAAATCTATTTTAAGTGCACTTGTCCTTTAAAGTGTATGTGTTGCCAACACTTTTTTTATCTCTATAAAGCTTAGCTGTCACCTGTTAGACAGCCCTAGGTACTCACTATAATGTGAGGAATCTGGTCATAGGATGACACTTCTGTGTATGTAGTAATGGAGTGGTAAGCAAGGAACTCACTACCAATCCATGACAGTGTTAGTAGAAAAAAAGATATGATATACACCCACACCAAGCTTGCTTACCTGGCTGTGTGCAGTCCTGGGGTAGATCCGGTGAGTGTGAAGGCTCTGTGACCAGCTCCACAGAATGCTCTCAAACTCTCCTCTCATTCCCTACTCTGTAACTTATGTCCCCACCTGCTTTCACAACTCATTCCCCACTTCCATTTGGGCTTTCAGCCATGTGTGTTTGTATTTCCACCTCACACTTCCCCCCTTCTGCTGGGCTGCCAACCAAGCCCATCATTCCCACCACGCAGCCAACCATGTACGTCATTTCCACCATACATAGTTAGTCTGGCTGAAAAATGACAAAAGTCCATCCAGTTCAACCATACAAAAAAAATTAAAAAAAAGTTTTATATTTATATACCCACAGTTGATCCAGAGGAAAGCAAAAAACAGCAAAGCATGATCCAATTAGCTTCTGCAGGGGCAAAAATTTATTCCTGATCCCTTGAGAGGCAATTGGATATTCCCTGGATCAACTTTACATATGAAAGTTAGTATTCCGTTATATTATGTGTATCTAGGAAATAATCCAGGCCTTTTTTAATGCAATCCACTGAGCTGGCCGGAACAAACTCTTGAGGGAGTCTATCCCACATTTTCACAGCTCTCACTGTGAAGAATTTTTTCTGTATTTGGAGATTAAATCTCTTTTACTCCAGACGTAAAGAGTGCCCCCTTTTCCTTTGTGATGACCTCAGGGTGAATAGCTCTACACTGAGTTCACTATATGACCACTGATGTATTTATACATGTTGATCATATCCCCCCTTAATCTCCTCTTCTTAAGAGAGAATATATTCAGTTCCTCTAACCTTTCCTCATAGCCGAGTTCCTCCATTCCTCTTAACAGTTTGGTTGCCCTTCTCTGCACTTTTTCCAGTTCCCCATGACTTTTTGTGAATTGGTGCCCAAAGCTGAACTGCAATTTCCAGATGAGGTCTTACTAATGATTTGTACCGGGGTAAAATAATATCTAGGAGTCTGAGCGAATCAAGAACCTGCTCGCGAAGTGGTGATTCGTTTCGAATATTAGGAAAAATTTCGATTCGCGTCGTACTCAATATGAATATTAGCATAACTTCGGATAACGAATCAAAAACCTTCCCCGATCCCTGTCGATTTTCATCCCTTCATCAGCAGCTCGGCATAATAAATGTCCCTGCAGAGAGCTCAACCCTATTTTCTGACAGTTCTCTGACAGTTCCCTCACAGATTTACAGCAGTTGAAACACATTGTATCTATTTGTTTCCATTTAGGATCAGATGTTTTTCTCATTCGGATAACAAAAATAGATTTGTTTGACAATGTTTCAACCGCTGTAAATGTGAAGGAACTGTCAGAGAACTGTCAGAAAATAGCGGAGCTCTCTGCAGATGTTGATACTTTTTGCTGGAATGGAATTCTTCTTATCCTCATCCTACTTCTTCTTCTTCTTCTTCATCCTCATCCTACTTCTTCTTCTTCTTCTTCTTATCCTCATCCTTCTTCTTCTTCTTCTTCTTCTTCTTCATCCTCATCCATACTTCTTCTTCTTCATTCTTCTTCTTACATCCTCATGGACTACTTCTTCTTCTTCATCCTGAAGAAGGTATCCTAAATTTGCTTCTTCTTCATCCTCTAGATCCTACTTCTTTTATTACTTTAATCTTCTTCTTCGTCCTCATTCTTCTTCTTTTCTTCATCCTCATCCTTGACTTTTTACTTCTTCTTCTTCATCCTTTAAATGATTATACTTCTTCTTCTGTCTTCCTCTTCTTCTTAAAACATCTTTCCTATTACTATAGCTTCTTCTTCTTCCCTTATCCTCATGGGTTACTTCTTCTACTTCTTCTTTGTTGCCCATTATTATTTTCATCCATACATCCTACTTCTTTCTTCTTGTACTTCTTCTTCCCTTTTCTTGGAGAGCAGCTTCAGCTTGGAAAATTAGCTGTCTTATTCGTTTTCATTCTTCCATTGTGCTTCTTTTCATTCTAAACAATAAATGAAATCTTTTCTTTTCATTCTTCTTCTTCTTCCTGTAATCCCATTTTCTTCTTTTCCTTCCTAGAGTCCAGTGGTGGAGTGCTAAACACCTCTGCATCTGACGCTTTGCATTGCACTTGGTGATGTAAGACTTGGATGCAGCTGCTCAGCCATGGAAACCCATTCCATGAAGCTCTCTATGCACTGTTGTGATAATCTAAAGGCCACATGAAATTTGGAGGTCTTTAGCTATTGACTCTGCAGACATTTAGCGACTTCTGCGCACTGTGCACTTCAGCATGCTCTGGCCACACTCTGTCATTTTACATGGCCTACCACTTCGTGGCTGAGTTGCTGCTGTTCTGAGTTGCTTCCACTTTGTTTATAATACCACTAACAGTTGACCATGGAATATTTATTATTATTAGCAAGGAAATTTCACAGATGGACTTATTGCACAGTGGCAACCTATGACGGTACCCACTCTTGAATTCACTGAGCTCCTGAGACCGACCTACTCTTCCACAAATGTTTGTAGAAGCAGTCTGCATGCCTAGGTGCTTGATTTTATACACCTGTGGCCATGGAGGTGATTGGAACACCTAAATGCAATGATATGGAGGGGTGTCCCAATACTTTTGGCAATATAGTGTATGTATAGCACAAAAAGGGCATCGCTTACCAACATCAAAACATCATCTGAACGGTGAAGTTTGGTGGAGGGGACATTGTGATCTGGGCTTGCTTCATTGCATTAGGGCCTGGACCACTTTCCATTATGGAAAATGAATTCCCAAGTTTACTAAAATATCCTACAGTATAATGTATGGGTGGCTGTTTGTCAGATGAAGCTTAGTAGAAATTGTGTGATGAAGCAGGACAATGACCCTATGCATCGAATTAAATCCACCACACACTGTCTTCAGAAAAATAAAAATCACCTTTTAATCACCTTGGCCCAGTCAAAGCCCAGACCTTAACCCCATAGAATGACCACAAGAGAACTGTTCACGCCAGCTATCCCATAAATGTGTCTGAACTGAAGAATGTTTGTAAAAAGGAATGGTTAAAAATTCATCCTGAACATTGTGCAGGTCTGATCCAGAGCTACCAAAAGGGTTTGTTTGAAGTAATTGCTGCCAAAGGAGGTTTGACCAGCTATTAACTCCAAGGGTTCACTTACGTTTTCTCCAGCACTGTGAATGTTTAATGGGTGTGTTCAATAAAGGCACGAGAAATTAGAATTGTTTGCGTGTTATCAACTTACGCACAATGTGTTTGTCTATTGTTGTGATGCAGATGAGCATCAGATCACATTTTATGGCAAATTACTGCAGAAAACCAGTTAATTCCAAGCTGTTCTGATATTCTCCCAGTTCAGGAAAGGGGCCAATGGAAAACCATCTTATTAGTCAGTACACCACATGATAAGCGATTCAGAGCCTACTAGTACATCACACATAAAGGCATTCAGATCCGAAGTGTGGGGCTGCCTTTTTTCACAAAGGCAGAAATTACCTCTTTTGTAGACCAAAATGACATTCTGTGAACTAGGAAAGAAGGGGCAGTTCCACAGCTCTTATGGCTGCATCGCCAGAGGTACAGCACAAGCTGTAGCAACTGGCATATACAAATGCATCAATTGCACAGTAAAAAAGAAGCAATCTTCTCAAATAACACACCTACTAAGAGGAAACGTTTTTTTACACAATTGCTTCTTCCTGGAGTTTCAGTTCAGGTTTTTATAGTAGAACATGGTGCCCACCACCCATAATAAAAGTGCTTTAATGAGGAACATATGGTCAGAGAAGGGGACCAGCAAAAAAAGATTTTGTAGGCGTTTATACATTTCTTCCACAATTTATATGAATTTGTGGTCAACAGGAGAACATAACACCGCTGATAAAGAAGGAACAGAACAGTATCTAGAAGTGGCCAGAATCATCAACCACCCAACTTACAACATCAGCAAGAATAAATACAACAACGACATTGCTCTTGTAGAGCTAGAAAAACCAATGGTATTAAATGACTATGCCAGGCCTATCTGCATAGGATACAAAGACTTCACGGACAGGCTACTGAAGATTATACCGCATAGTTGGGTGACAGGCTGGGGTAATCTCAGGTACAGAGGAAGACCAACAGTAAAACTGCAAAAGCTGGCTGTGCCATATGTTGATCGTGCCACTTGCAAAAAGTCAAGCCAGTATATTCTGTGTCCACAACTATGTTCTGTGCTGGCTTTGCTGATGAAGAAAAGGATGCATGCCAGGGGGACAGTGGTGGTCCTCACGCCACTGATTTCAGAAATACTTGGTTTCTTACAGGAATTACAAGCTGGGGAGACAAATGTGCACAGAAAGACAAATATGGAGTTTACACCAGAGTCTCCAGATTCACTGACTGGATACTGAGCACTACAAGGCTTCCATAAATAGGCTTTAAAGCTGATCTCCAGGCAGATATTAATGTGCCAATTATTGCAGTTATATGTGTTTGTTAAAAATTAATAAATGTATTTGCTGTCTGACAGGGCTGTGTATATCATGATTGGATGGACAAACATACAAATAATTTTTCAAATATAACAGTTATCATATACAGTTGTGTTCAAAATAATAGCAGTCAGACATCACTAATCTGATCAATCACTGTTTTTGGTAGAAATGATATTTCTACATGGCAAATAATTTACTAGCAGGTGTAGTAGAGTAATAGAAATCCAACAGACCCAAAAGTCATGACATGCATGCTGCTGATTCTGTGTAATTGAATCACTAATTGAAAGGGGCATGTTCAAAATAATAGCAGTGTGGAGTTCTCTTAGTGAGGTCATTCATTCTTTGAAAAACAGGTGGCAATTATTGCTCTTATTTAAGGAAGGAAGGCAGCAATTGTTGTACATGCTGGTTACAGTGCATTTCTCTCTGAAATTCTGAGGAAAATGGGTCGTTCCAGACATTGTTCAGAAGAACAGCGTACCTTGATTAAAAAGTTGATTGGAGAGAGGAAACATAAAGAAGTGCAGAAAATGATAGGCTGCTCAGTTAAAATGATCGCAAATGCTTTAAAATGGCAACCAAAACCTGAAAGACGTGGAAGTAAGCGAAAAACTACCATTCGAATGGATAGAAGAATAGCCAAAATGGCAAGGACTCAGCCAACAATCAGCTCCAGGAAGATCAAAGAAGGTCTAAAGTTACCTGTGAGTACTGTTACAATTAGAAGACGCCTATGTGAAGCCAAGCTATCTGCAAGAAGCCCCCGCAAAGTCCCACTGTTGAAAAAAAGACGTGCTGAAGAGGTTACAATTTGCCAAAGAGCACATCGACTGGCCTAAAGAGAAATGGCGCAACATTTTGTGAACTGATGAAAATAAGTTTGTTCTTTTTGGGTCTAGTGGCCGGAGACAGTTTGTCAGACGACCCCCAAACACTGAATTCAAGACACTGTGAAGACAGTGAAGCATGGTTGCGCAAGCATCATGATATGGGGATGTTTCTCATACTACGGTGTTGGGCCTATTTATCGCATACCAGGGATCATGGATCAGTTTGAATACATCAGAATACTTGAAGAGGTCATGCTGCCTTATGCTGAAGAGGAAATGCCCTTGAAATGAGTGTTCCAACACGACAACGACTCCAAACACACCAGTAAACGTGCAACATCTTGGTTCCAGACCAACAAGATTGATGTTATGGAGTGGCCAGCCCAATCCCCGGATCTTAATCCAATAGAAAACTTGTGGGGTGACATCAAAAATGCAGTTTCTGAGGCAAACCCAAGAAATAGAGAAGAACTGTGGAATGTAGTCCAATCATCCTGGGCTGGAATATCTGTTCACAGGGGCCAGAAGTTGGTTGACTCCATGCAACACAGATGTACAGCAGTTCTCAGAAACAGTGCTTATACAACTAAAAATTATTAAGTGATTCAAAGGAAAGCAAAATCTTCAAACATTTTTCAGTTTATATAGTGAACGTTTGAGTTTATAAAGAAGAATACAAACACTGCTATTTTTTTGAACAGTCTAATATTCACTTTTCTTCAATTTTTTTAGAGGAACAACACAAATTTGATATATTTTTCTTCATGTTTTGATTTGGAATAGAATGTGTAGTGTTCCCAATGCATTTGTGTGTATGGAAATAAAAGCTATTAGAAGGATTTTAAGCTTTATTCACTTTTTTCATCACACTGCTAATATTTTGAATACAACTGTATGTATTTCACTGGTATAGCTAGCTGTTTGCCTTAAAGGTTAAGTTTACCTTCTACAGAAAATAACCTATGCAGCCTTGTAAAATGTTCATTTATTTTATTATTGCCATACTTGATATATGGCCTACAGGTATCACAATAAACTGAATGAACATTTTACAAAGCTGAACAGTTTTAATACCAACTGTGAATCTATGGCTGCATATGCTAATTTTTGGAAAAGGTGAACAAAGTTTTAATTTGGTAGTAATTAGCTTGTGCATGTTCACTGTACAGTGCAGGAAATAAGTATTTGATCCCCTGCTGATTTTGAATGTTTGCCCACTCACAAAGAAATGATCAGTCTAAAAATCGAATGGTAGGTGTATTGTAACACAGAGAGACAGAATAGCAACAAAAATTTAAAAAAAATGCATGTCTAACAAATCATGCACTGATTTGCATGTTCGTGAGGGAAAAAAGTATTTGATCCCCTTTCATTCAGCAGGATTTCTGACTACTAGGTGTCTTTCATACAGGTAACAAGCTGAGATTAGAAGCAGTTTCTTAACTGTCAAACATGGTGGTGGAAACATTCTGCTTTGGGGGTGTTTTTCTGCTAAGGAGATATGACAACTACACTGCATCAAAGGGACGATGGACGAGGCAATGTACCGTCAAATCTTGGGTGAGAACCTTCTTCCCTCAGCCAGGGCATTGAAAATGGGTTGTGAATGGGTGTTCCAGCACAACAATGTCCCAAAACATAAGGCCAAGGCAACAAAGGAGTGGCTCAAGAAGAAGCACATTAAGGTCCTGGAGTGGCCTAGCCAGTCTCCAGACCTTAATCTGATTGAAAATCTGTGGAGGGAGCTGAAAGTTTGAGTTGCCAAATGGCAGCAGGGGATCAAATACTTATTTCCTTCATTGTATAACTATATGCTGGTTTGTTCTTACTTCAGACTTACTTTTCCAGTCATCAGTCTTCTTGAGGTGCGGTAATCAACTTATAATACATTACGTTGGGGTTTAACATATTGACAGAGGCTGTGAGACATCATTGTGAGCCACATCTACCAAGGGGTGTCATTACAGAAAACTGTAGCAGGCACACCCCATCATAAAGGGAAAAGAGAGGTACATACAATTGTGGGTACACTATGCATATATATATATATATATATATATATATATATATGATCTTATTTAGTAAATTTTCAGAGGCTTTTAAAGGTGTTCTCTACTTTAAGAATAGATCAGAGTCTGCATAGTTAAAAAATAAGGTGCCCTCCCTCCCTTTTTCAGCTCCCTCATATATAACCAGCAGTACTCCCACCCCACAGTTGTTTATACTAATTTGATTAACTGAGACTGGAGGATCAACATGGAGGCCAACCAAATAGCATTTTTTACAAGGAGGGCATTGAAGCTATTGTACATATTTCTATCAAAATGTATAAGGAAGATCATGCAAAGAACTTTAATTACATATCGTTAATGTTTTACCTGCCAAAGATCTATAATTTTGTTCTGCCGATGCACACATCTGCCATACTGTGCAATTACATGAATCTGCTGGTCCAGCAAAGCAGAGTTTTGGCTCAGGAGAATTCCTATTAGTCAATTAGTAGGGAATGTATCCAGGAATTAATAAAGCCACATCAGGAATAGTAGAATGATCTACTGTGCAGGGTGACTTAGGGGGTTAGATGCACATATGCGGATCAATAGAATTACAAATCTTGTAGCTGGTTTAACGTTAAACATGTATTTCCATTACATTTGTTTGCAAGAGTTCCCTTCCACCTTAACATACTTAACTCAAGGTTTGCCTTTTGAATGTGCCTCCCCCCTGAAATGTTGAATAGAACTAAAAAAGAAAAAACTTTCATTTTAGTTTTTATCAAAGTGGAGATGGATTAGAACACCCGTCAGTTTTTATTGCTGTCTATGTCCCCATTAAGGAGAGTTATCATCTCTATTTGTCCTGTTTACCATTGTCATTGAAAGTGAAAGTAAAAGAAATCCCAAATTTTTGGTTGTCCCCAGAGGAGTAATAGAGAGGAAATCTTCCAATGGGGACACTAGTTCTGGTTATCTAGGGGTCCCCAAGAAAAACACTTAATTTGCAGAGATTTCCTCTCTTTGTTTGGCTATGGGACAGGAAGTAAAGGGAAATCTCTGCAATGGGACACAGATGGCAAAAGAGTACCGATACTTTGTTGTCCAATTTGCGTCAATAAAAAATGTATGGACACTAATTGCAAAGCAAGGAATAGCATGCAATTTGAACAGGAATGCAATTCCTGTCCAAATCGTATGCTGTTTCTCTACTGCTCCTGTGTGAACCTAGGCTTGTCATAGGCTAAGGTCACAAAGGAGCAGTGCAGGGAGGTTTCCCACAGCGGAGAGTGGGAGAGAAGGGCATTTGGGGATGTATACTGTACCTGGTGGTAGATGTTCCATATTCTCTCCTGTAGAAGAATAGAGAAAGACGCTTCAAAGGTCTGAGGATTTGAAATCCCTGTCGCATTTTCTCTTCTCCTTGCAGGTATGACATTTCAGGCTAAAGGGCTTTTGATTGGTCAGCACAATCACATGGACGGTGCTAACCATTCAGAAGCATCTAGCCCGTATTGTTATCCCCGCAAGGAGAGGAAAGAAAACTGCTTCACAGGTATGGGGATTTGAAATCCCTGTTGCTTTCTCTCCTCTCCTTGCAGGGATGACAGTATGGGCTAGACAGCTTCTGATTGGTCAGCACCATCCATGTGATGGTGCTGACCAATCAAAAGCCCTCTAGCCCAAACTGTGATCCCTGCATTTCTCTCCTCTGCTACACCTGAGAATACAGAGCATCTGTCACCAGGTACACATCCCCGCACGCCCACTCTCCCCTCAGCATAGGATTGATGCAGGGAGATTTTCCGCACTGCTCCTGTGTGAACTCAGGCTATGACAAGCCTGAGCTCACACAGGAGCAGTGAGGAAACTGCATGCAATTTGGACAGAAATTGTACTGCATTCCTGTTCAAATTGCATGCTATTCTTTGCAGTGCAATTTGCGTCCATTGACACAAATCGCACTGCAGAGTATCAGTTTCAGGTATCGGGAGCATTTACATGAGTACGAGTACTCAAGAAAATACTCTGTTTCAGCACCGATACCAATATCGGTATCAGTGCATCTCTAGTTATAACCCTCCCTTAC